TGACACGGACGATTTCAGCGTCATGTATGTCCAGGTCGTAGACTCTCCCTCCCTTGTGGAGGGCCCGCAGACGTGACGTATCCGAGCTGGTCGGCGTGGAATGAGTATTTGAAGGCTTACTCGGTAAAGTCCCGCCAGGTCATCCGCATCCAGTCAACGCTTAGTTGCGTATTGAGAAACAAGCGGCTGGGTCAAACAGCGGCAGCAAAGCAGGGAATGGATGTTCCGTACGTACCAGAGACGTGGGGTGCTTACCCAACGCACATACATCTGCACACATGGCTGGCCAACAAAAGACAGGAGCAGCGGATTGCGAACCAAGCACTTCGTCCGAGGATGCGGTTGTCCATTTCGATTTGTGGTGCAGCTCGTGCAAGTTGACGGCTTATGCTGCCTTCGCGTGAAGAACGGTGTGTACCAGCACAACCATGCGGTGGGGACAGCGCAGTTCAAGACGTACGCGGAGAACCGTAGGTTGGACGACACGGACACGAAGGATGCTGTGGACAGCATGGTGATGTACGGTAGAAAGCGCGCACGCATCTATGAGTATCTTCTGAAGAGAGGCGAGAACCTTGTCAAGAAGGATGTGGACAACATTGTGCAACGTGTTAAAGCAGAGATAAGAGGAGGGTTGAATGACGACGACGCTTGCGCCGCAACTCTCGCGGAATTCGCAGCTATTGACGGTAACGTAGTCACGGTGGACGAAACTGATGCAGGACACTCTGGTGTGATCAGTATGACTTCCAGACATATGCGCGACATGGTTACTAGGTTTCCAGAGCTTTTGCTTGTGGACTGTACCCACAAAACGAATCGGTAAGTCCTCCCATGTATTGTGCAATTATTTGTCCATGTATTGTCCATGCTTATTTTAATGTCATGCCCATGTATTGTGCGATTCTTGTCCATGTAATGTGCATTAGATACAACTACCAGCTTTGTACCTTCATGATGATAGACGACAATGGGCGTGGGCAGCCTGTACAACAGTCTTTGCTCGAACGAAACGCCGATTGGCAGATGTCCCGAGCGCTGGATCATCTATTTCGGATTGACGATAAGATTGGCGACAAGGTTCAAGTTATAATGGTCGACAAAGATCTGAATGAGATCCGCGTGTTGCGTCGGTACTTCCCTAAGTCGTGCGTGTTGATTTGCGTCCTTCACGTCATCAAATATCTCCGCACAGCGTCCAGGAAGCCAGAATATGGTAAACTTTCGTCGGACGATCACGACGCCATCGACGCATTAGTCCACAACATGGTATAT